CCCACAGCGTCACACGACAGGTGTCGCTCTACATTTAATCTCCAAAGGATGGCCAAGGGGGTTGTTAAATTGGAAAGATGAATAGCAGGAAAAAAAAAAAAACATATACAATAATTCCACGTGTGTTAAAAAAAACACAACACCTGTATAAAACTTAAGACAGTCATAAGATAGACAGGTAGATGTTGGGGTGCCATTCTCCCCTCGCGGCTGGAGGTCCAGGCCCTGCTGGGGCCGGACCAGCCCTCCGGCCCCGACGCCCCCCCCCCCACTGTGCTGTGCTCCAGAGCAGAGAATTGTCCCGATTCCCACCCCGTCCCCTCTGCTTGGAGAATGCGACCCTTCGCCCCGCGGGTCCCTCAGGCTTCGGTTCAGACGCCCCCCGAGAACCCTCCTCCTCTGCTGGACCGAGGGCTTCTCTGTCTGCCCAGGAGCGCGTGGTCCCTGCTCATGGCCCCTCTGGGGTCACGATGTCGACACCTGCCTCTACCTGGGGTCCCCCCCCGTGTGCGGCACGTCACTGGCACCCCGCCCCCCGCAAAGCTCCAGGAAGGGAAGTAAGTTGGGGGGCTGCCTAGCATTCCCACAGAAGAAGCCCCGATGGGGACAGGTGTGAAGCCAGGCTGCGGGCCAGGGCCGGGTCTGGGCAGCACCGAGCCGTGGAGATTGTGGGCGGGTGTGTGACTCCACGGTGACCGGGTGGAACCAACTTCAGGCCCGAGCGAGGGGGTCCCGCTGGCCGTCTGTCTGTCTGATGGCGCCACGTGAGCCCACAGACGTGGCGGCCATGCCGGATCGCCCCGAGACTGCGCATCGAAAGCCAATTAGAAGAAAAATCACGGTTTTTTCACATTACTCTCTTCTCTGAGTCAAGGTCCTATCGCACGCAGGTTGACGTTCTGTGTTCAGCGTTTACAAACACACAACAGTCATTACTTGCTAACACTGTAGGTGAGCGATTGATGAAGAGAGAGCTGGTGTAATGAACTATCCATCTGGAGATCGCGGGGGGCCCCAAACAGGGACGCCCCCCAGGGCAGGGAGGACCATCCTGGCCTCGCCCTGACAGGTGAGCGGCTGGGGGACCGAGGTCCATTGCAGAGGAAGCCACCTGGGGCGACACCAGCCCTGAGACCGCACACGCCGGCCCTTCCCCAGATGTTTCCTCCTGGGCCACAGGTTGCTGCTCTCTGAACCCCCGCACCCCAGGGTGCGTCGGACTGCAGAGGGTGTGCAGATCAGGCTGGCCCCTCTGCTCCCTCCTCTCCTGAGAACTTGGCTTTGACGCTGTCCGAGTTGAGGCTCTTAGCTTCGGGCTGGAATGAAAAGGGGGTATTAGGCAGGGTTCTCTCACCTGCTCACCTGTCTCATCGAGGGGGACCCTGGCAGCGCCCCTCAGTGTGCCGGAACCTGGAGCACAGGAGGCAGCGGTGGAGGGATCACACCTTGTGTCCGTCTTCCTGCACAGCGAAGCTACCCGACCACAGACACCAGCCCCGCGTGTCCCTCAGAACAGACCAGCCGACAGACCAGCTCCCTGCAGGCTGCTGCCCAAGTGGACGTCACCACGGCAGCGAGCAGGACATCCCCCAAGGGGCCCAGGCGGTCAGGCCAGCAATTCCCCCGAAATCTCTGGAGCCCCCTGCGCCTGGGAGGCCAGACCGCAGGTGTCCCCGCTGACCGGGAGCTAGAGGGGGTGTGGTGTGCAGGACAGGGTAGGCGCTGGCTTCCCTTTGGGCTCCAGAGCAGATGGGGGTTCCCCGGCCCGGCCTGAGGCCCCCTAGAAGGTGCTTCAGAGATGGGGGTGGGGAGGAAGGCGAGTCTGCAGGGCCCGCTCAGTGATGAGGCCGGGCCAGGCAGCCAAAGCCCCGGGAAGTATCTTCTCACCGTGTGGTGAGGGCATGTTTTCTGCCCCATGGCGAGACACGGAGGCCAAGGTCTCCCCAAAAGGGTCCCAGGGGGCAGGGGGTGGAGGTCCCGGCCCCCATGGACAGGATTTTGCTCCAGCAGGTGCTCATGACAGCAAGTCCCACTGAACAGTGGGCGGGTCAGAAGCCTGGTCTGCTGACCAAAGGGCCACATGCCGAGGACTGGGCCTGGGCTCAGACCCCAGGGCAGAGCCCGCTGCAGCCCTGGGGTACCCCAGTGTTCCTCAGAGGAGACAGGACTCCCCCCTGAGCCGGATGGAGGCTCACACGTGCTCCTGGCTCCAGGTGATGTCCTGAGGGAGTGGACTTAGAGATGTACTAGACTTTCCGCGGATTCACATGGAAATGTGTGTGCAAAGTGGACGAGCCCCACACAGGCAGAGACGGGCTGTATCCAGCCGCCGCAGCAGGACAGCTCCCAGGGTGTGGGTCGGAGGCGGCAGGGTGGTGGCCTTGGCCTCGGGGCGGAGCAGTCACAGGGCTGACCAGCACACGTCCCTCCGCACAGACAACTCCAACCGCAGCTGCTCGGCCGCCACGCCCAGAACAGGCAGCTGAGGGCTGGGTCTGCCGGGCTGCAGGTGCGCAGGGTCATCGTGACGGTCGTGGGGTCCTGGGACTTCAGGAGCAGACCCACTGTCGGGGCTCAGCGGGCCATGGGCAGGGCTGGGAGCTGCGACGTGTCAGCAAGGAGGTTCTCGGGTTCCACACCAACTGGGTGTCCTGCCTTGGGAACGCTGGACATGGCCTAGGGTGACTGAACCCAGACCCACGGAGGCCAGGTCCTCCTGCCGGCCACCCGCCCCCATGAGTCCAGTCGTGCTGGCCGCCACAGAAAGCATCCGTGGCTGTGGATTTCAGGCTGCGGGAGGGCCTGCCTCTGGCCACGTGTCTTGGGCACAGGAGAGCTCTGGGAGAGTTTGGTGGGAGCTGAACATCGCCCCCGCCTGCCTCTCGTCCTGCCACACGTCCTGCGGCGGCTCATCCCAGGCCGGCCCCGGGGTCCGCGCTGGGCAGGAGTCAGGGTGCGGAGAATGCCTGCTGAGCCTGCAGGGGCAGGGGCACAGTTCGGGTCCCTCCGGAACGAGGTCGCTGTGACAGGGCTGTGCTGCAGCTCCGTGGTGTCTGATGTCTCGCGCCCAATGCCTGTGTGCCGGCTGGCGTTTGCCTTGTACACCCCTGGGTGGGGGCCTTAAGAAGTTAAAGGGAAACAGGTTACGACAGGGATCAGGCGCCTAAGAATAAGGTGGAGTGTTAATGTAACCTTTAGAGTTCTTCGTAGCAAGATCTCTTTGTAAAAATACATTTGTTTTAAAATCTATATTCTTTTTGCTCTGACTGGTTTAGCTCAGCGGTTAGAGCATCAGCCCATAGACAGAAGGATCTCAGGTTCGATTCCTGGTCAAGGGCATGTACCTGTGTTACAGGTTCAATCCCCAGCCCCACTCAGGGTCGTGCAGGAGGCAACCAATGGATGTGTCTCTCTCGCACCAATGTTTCTCCCTTGCTCTCTCTCTTTCTCTCTCTCCCTCCCTCCTTTCCACTCTATCTAAAAATCAATAGAAAAATATCCTTGGGTAAGGATTAAAAGAAAATTAATAAAATAAAATCTATATTCTTTAAAAATATGTTTTCTGTATTGATTTTAGAGAGAGAAGAAGGGAGAGGAGAGGGAGACATGGATGAGAGAGAACATCGAGTGGCCACCTCCTGTACGCCCCGCCCCGGGGATCGGGCCCACATCACTTGGTGTGGGCACGTGACCTGCCTGGGGAATTGAACTGGTGACCTCTTGGTGCATGGGTCGACGCTCAACCACTGAGCCACCCCAGCCAGGCTCCAGATTCTTTCTAAAAATTTGGAAACAGGCCCTGGGTGCACCTCTGGGCAAGAAGGCATGAGTCCTCCCCTCCCGCAGAGTCTGCTGTCCAGAGAAGGTGGGCTCTGAGTCTCCTTGGAGACACATTGTAGGCAGGTGCCCATGTACACGCATGTACGCGTGTGCATGTGCACATATTTGCATCCATATATGTGCATACACTTTTCATTAAAATGAGTTCACCCGATCTGTGTTCAGAAGCCACGCGATCATCTCCAGTGGAAGTCTTTGAAAACGTCCTCACGTCACCACATCAAGCCCCTTCCAGCCCAGCTTTGCGGGGCCTGTCCCTGAGTCAGCAGACAGATAACCAGCTATCGGGGTGATTCCCACACAGACCGGGCTTGAAGGAGGTGTCCCCAGTGCGCTCCCAGGACAGCAAACAGGACAGCCCAGCGGCTGGCTGTGCACACTGAGGCTCCCAGACCGAGGAAGCCACAACGCCACCGGCCACCACAGTGCCCAGCCGAGGAGCCTCCTCCCGAGGTAATGTGAAGGGGGAGTGGCGGCTGGGGTACGGGCACTCTCTGCACACCTGCAGGGCGGCCGGGGTACGGGCATTCTCTGTGCACCTGCACTTGGCCTGGGGTACGGGCACTCTCTGTGCACCTGCACTTGGCCTGGGGTATGGGCACTCTCTGCACACCTGCACTTGGCCTGGGGTACGGGCATTCTCTGCACACCCGCACTTGGCCTGGGGTACGGGCGTTCTCTGTGCACCCGCACTTGGCCTGGGGTACGGGCATGCTCTGCACACCCGCACTTGGCCTGGGGTACGGGCATTCTCTGGGCACCTGCACTTGGCCTGGGGCTCCTAGAATCATGTTGGGGCTTCAGAAACCGAACTATGTATCTGGAAGCTGACGTTTATACTTTGTTCTTTACGACTGAAGTTCTCTCCACGTTCTGCACCGCTGACAGTTTCTCTGGGTGTGGAAGGCTCCGTGATGTGCCCATACCGGTGGGCGTGTGCAGGGTTGTGTTGGTGCACAGCTCCATCCTGTAAGCAGATCTCTGCCTGCTGGGAGGACCACGCGCGTCTGCCGGGCAGCGAGGGGAGTGCACGCCTGACCTCTTGCCGCGCTGGAAAGCGCTGTGAGTCGAGTGCAGGGAAATGAGTAACAAGGTCCAAGTTCGTGGCGGCAGCGAGAGCCAAGTTCACGAACTCCGGTCGCCTCACTCACACAGGGAAGGCGACTTGTCCGTACACTGACTCCTGTGCCGACGCATTCTTTCAGGGAGCTGCAATCCGAGTGACCACCGATGGTCGGCACCGTTCGTCCGCACGATGGACAGAGGCCTGAGGAATGTGCTCGTCGTCTCCCTGGGGTTTCTGCTTCTCTTCACCGCCTACGGAGGCCTCCAGAGCCTGCAGGTACGTGGGCACGGTCCTCCAGCCGCTCTGGCCTCCGGGACCCCAGGGGCTCGGTCCGCGGGGAGTGTGGGGCTGCTGATCGTTTGACTCGCCCCCAAGCCCTCCGGACCGGAACGGAACCGCAGTGGCCTGTAGGCAGGCCTCCCTCCCGCCCTCAGGATTGCACAAGGCGGCAGTGGGCATGCTGCCCGACCAGAGGGCGGGTCTGGGGCGGAGACTGGATCAGACACCTTTGCCTCTGGGCGGCTCACGGGGAGTCTCTGGGCTCCCTGAGGTCGGTCACTCACTGGGCCACAGAGTCTGGGGTGGGTGGGGCCAGACTCTGAGCATGGACACAGCGGCGTCTGACCCCTGTGGCATCTCTCCTCGGGTGTCTCCCAGGGCTGTGGGCACGTGTGCTGGGGTGGACTGCGGGGCACTCCCGACTCCACTGGGCTGACCCAGGGCCCACCCACGCCCGCCGTGGTGCCACTGACACCTGCCAGCTCCTGTCCTCTTCCCCACCGCAGCCCTTCCCCTGGGCCCTGGCTCCTCCCTCGTCTGCCCCTCCCCCTCACATGCCCCTCCCCCTTCTCATCTGCCCCTCCCCCTCCCCAACTGCCCTCCCCTCCTCACCTGCCCCTCCCCTCCTCACAGTGGCCCCTTCCCATCTCATCTCCCTCCCCTCCTCACATGCCCCTCCCTCCCTCCACCCATCTTGCCCCATCCTCCTCACATGCCCCTCCCCTCCTCACGCGGCCCCTTCCCTTCCCCATCTGCCCGCCCCCTCTCCATTCTGCCCCGCCCCTCCTCACATTGCCCCCTCCCCTCCTCACATGCCCCTCCCCTCCTCATCTGCCCCTCCCCTCCTCACATGCCCCTCCCCTCCCCATCTGCCCCATCCCTCCTCACATGCCCCTCCCCCTCCTCACCTGCCCCTCCCCTTCCCCATCTGCCCCTCCCCCTCTCCATCTGCCCCTCCCCTCCTCACCTGCCCCTCCCCTCCTCACATGCCCCTCCCCTCCTCATCTGCCCCTCCCCTCCTCACATGCCCCTCCCCCTCCTCACCTGCCCCTCCCCTTCCCCATCTGCCCCTCCCCCTCTCCATCTGCCCCTCCCCTCCTCATCTGCCCCTCCCCTGCTCACATGCCCCTCCCCCTCCTCACATGCCCCTCCCCCTCCTCACATGCCCCTCCCCCTCCTCACATGCCCCTCCCCCTCACCTGCCTGGCCCTCCTCTCCTCGGACAGGTGAGACTGAAGGAGGAGTCGGGCTCTGGTTTCCTATCTGAACTCTGGTCACTTCTTACCAGGACGCACTAGGCCCTCAACTGAAACATGACAAAGAGGTGCAGGCTGAGTTGGTTGCACAGTGCGTCACAGGAGCTGACTGTCCGCCTCTGACTCCCCGGAGTCCATCCTGTGGGCCCGGCCACACTCCGCCCCCTCCCCTCCTGTCCTTGGATGACGGCAGGTGTCCAGGGCAGGGGCCGCGCAGGCTGGAGCCCCCTGCTGGAGAGGAGCCCCCCGTCCCGGCAGCCTGCTGCTGCTGGACACAGGGCTGTGGGGCCCAGAGCCCCGTGCCTGCCCGGACCCTGCTGAGCGGGCTGCCTTGTCCCCGCAGAGCAGCCTGTACCGTGAGGAGGGCCTGGGGGTGACGGTGCTGAGCACCCTCTACGGCGCCGTGCTCCTGTCCTCCATGCTGCTGCCGCCGCTGCTCATCAGGGTGCTGGGCTGCAAGTGGACCATCGCCGTCTCCATGAGCTGCTACGTCACCTTCTCCCTGGGCAACTTCTACGCCAGCTGGTACGCCCCACCCGTGCGGCCCGGGCGCCTGGGCCTTCCCGGGGGACAGCAGGCGGCGGCTGGCGCCCAGCGGCACCACCCTGACGACTGCCCCCTGCTTCTGCTGGGATGAGCTCGCTCGACCTTTCCTCAGGCCTGTGTGGGCCTCCCTCCCAGGGCCGGGAGCTTTCACTGCCCCGGGAATGATGGGGGGACCCAAGATGTCCAGGGTGGTGTCAGGGAGACTTGGTGGGAGACCCATGGAGCAAACCTCGCACCCTCATCCTCAGCTCAGGCCTTGGACGTGGCGGGGCTGCAGCGGGGCCCAGCCCCCGACCGCGCTCCACCTGCTCCCAAAGGAAAGGGCCCCTTGGGGACCAGGCTCTAAGTGCATGGGCCTCGTGCCCTGCTCCCAGGTCCATCTGCCAAGCCTTTCTTCGAGGGACACTCACTGTCCTCCAGGACACACTGATTGTGACGGCCTCACCGTCTTCCTTTTCTTGTTACCACGGAGTTTTCACTGGGGAGGGAAACATCCGTCGGCCAACACAACCGTCCGTCCTTACACGCAAAGCTGTTAGGGAAGCCCCGCCCCCTCTCGTCTGTGACCCCAGCTCACGGCAGGTGCCGTCCAACAGCAGGGAGGTCGCGGGCCCTGCCTGTCTCTCTTGCAGAACCTGCACAGCAAAGGTACTGACTCTGCTCACGTGTCCGAGTCTAACGGTGGTGAGGAGGAGCTGGGCCCACCCGCGACCCATCCATAGACATAGCAACGCTGCCAGGGGGCGGCCTGAGTCTCCTTCTCCCGCTGTGTCTGCCTCACAGGTACACCCTGATCCCCACCTCCATCCTGCTGGGGCTCGGAGCAGCCCCACTCTGGTCTGCTCACTGCACCTACCTCACGCTCGTGGGCAACAGCGACGCGGAGAAGGCGGGCAAAGCGGGCAAGGACGTGGTGAACCAGTACTTCGGCCTCTTCTTCCTTATATTCCAGTCGTCCGGGGTGTGGGGCAACCTGATCTCGTCCCTGGTGTTGGGCCAGACACCCACTCAAGGTAGAAGGACACAGGCTCCTCCATGACCCGAGCGGTCCCTGACCCCAGGACCGCACACCTTTATTCTTGACCCCATCAGCTGGTCACGTGGGGCTCTAGAGGCGGGGTTCTCGGCCTGCTTGCGCCCCAGCAGCACGGACTCCTGGCTCTGTCTGGCCAGTGTGGGTGGCCTGAGGGTTCCCATTGATTCTGACCTCCCGTCCCCTCCCCTGGGGATGCCCAGGCCACCGCCAGTGGAACTCGGGTCGACGGAGTCAACACTACCCACTCAGGTGGTCTGAGAACAAGTTTGAATGACTGATTTTCCCACTGAACTGACCTACTGACCACTGTTTTCAATGTTACCCCTCAGACCAGTGGTTCTCAACCTTCCCGAGGCCACGACCCTTGAATACAGTTCCTCACGTTGTGGGGACCCCCAACCATAAAATTATTTCCCTTGCTACTTCATCACTGTGATTTTGCTACTGTTATGTCTTAGGCGACCCCTGTGAAAGGGTCATTCAACCCCCAAAGGGGCCACGACCCACAGGTTGAGAACCACTGCCTCAGACCCTTTGTTCCGTAAGGGATTTGAACGTCCGATGACCGACACTGTGACGCGCCTGGCCCGGGCGTGGGTACAGAGTGTGTCTGTTCACGCCTGCGCCCTTGGAGGTCTGCGGAGCCAGACCAAGGGCAGCGGATGTAAGTCCTTCAGTGCTTCCAGGAAACCTGCACTAACGGGGTCAAGTCCAGCCGTTCGGACGGTCCCTGGGCCATTTCTGGCTCGCGCTGTGGCCTCCAGGCTGCTGTCCCCCAAGTCCTGCCGTTGGGAACCTCTGGAATCAAAGTCCTTGCTCCCTTTTTCCTTAGGGGATGTAGTTATTTGTTCTCTAACCGGAAGCTCACGCTCAGCAGTGGTAGGAAGTGCCCGCCCAGGGTCGCGGAACCGGTGTAGACGAGTCAGAACGAGAACCCAGCATCTGACAACCGTTCCAACGCGTTCTTTCTTCCTGAGTAATCTTTAAAGGTTGACAACGTTCACTTATGTCAGGAAAGTGATTTGACAAGTAACCAACATGCGCTGCACATCCTCTCGGACTGTCCTAGAACCAAGCACCCAGCATGTGCCTCGGGGCACATGTATTCGGAGACATTTAGTCAAACAAGCCCCCTTTTCCCACACAGAGCTCTGTGACACCCGCTTGGGACGTGTCCACACTCCTTTCAAGGGGCGTGTCCCTTCCCCCGTCCCGGGTTCTATCCGATCACCTTCGTCCTCATCACCTGCCCCCACCCCACAGATCCCATTCCAGAGGAGCAGCTCCTGTCCTGTGGGGCCAGCGACTGTCTGATGGCCACAGCGCCCACTAACAGCACCCAGAGGCCCTCCCAGGAGCTGATCTACACCCTGCTGGGCATCTACACAGGTACGAGCTGGGCAGCAGCAGGCGGAGTCCCAGAGCAAACCCTGGCCCATTCGTGTGCTGAGAAGACCATGCCCCCAAGTCCGAGGGATCGCAATGCACCTCGGGCTCCCTCTCAGCCACACGCAGAACTTCCTTCTCCGGACGCCGCTGCCCACGGCCCTGAGAACGCACAGTGCGCGGTTCTCCGAGTCAGCCTGCAGCACACGCGAGCAGAGGGCGTCCCTGCAGGACTCCCCACCCTGAGAACGCAGACTGGCTGTTGGGAGGCGACCTGAGTATCAGGACAACCGTTGATGGTTAGGGTGCCGACATTTGGGGTCTCCCCCAAGCTGTGTAGCTTATGCCACTGGAGACAGTACTGACCTACGGACTTGAGTTTCTCGGGAAAGCCTGGGGGTGACCAGTGGACCACAGAACTGACGGCTCCACCGGAGCGCGTCTCGGTCAGGTGTAGCCTCTGTGGTCTCACCGCAGCCGGGATTCGAGGTGGACCGTGGGCTCCGTGGGGACCAGGGTCCCGTGTCCCGCGGCTCCGGCCCCCTAGCAGCTGCTGTCCACGCTGTCCTCCCAGGAAGCGGTGTCCTCGCCGTCCTGCTCGTGGCGACGTTTCTCGACCCCATAAGAGACGCTCAGCAGAAAGGTGAAGGAGAGACAGTGCCGTCTGTCAGGTCCACCCTGCTGTCCACCTTCAAGCTGTTCAGAGACAGACGCCTGTGTCTCCTCGTCCTGCTCCCCATGTACAGTGGGTTCGAGCAGGCCTTCCTGGCAGGAGACTACACGAAGGTAGGACCCGGAGGGTGACCTATGTGGGTGCGACCCGGTGGGTTTGGGTACACAGACCCACCATCGCAGCGTGGTGCAGGGTGTTTCACTGCCCCCCGATCCTCTCTGCTCCCCCGTTCACCCCGTCTCCGTCCTTTTCAACGGTCTCATAGGCCAGGTGGGACGTGACCAGTCCCACCAGGAACAGCTCCAGGACACTGTGTAAGAGCAGAGTCTGCCACAAACGCGTCCTGGTGTCAGTCCGGGCGTCTTCGTCAGCTCCTACACAGGGTGGGGTTTCTGTCTTTGTGTTTAATGTGTTTTCATTGATATTTTTAGAGAGAGAAGGGAGAGAGAGATCAGAACATCAATAGAAGAGAGAAACATCCAGGGGCCGCCTCCTGCACGCCCCCTACTGGGGATGGATCCCACAGCCTGGGCCGGTGCCCGGACCTGGGGGTGCGGAGGGCACAGGATGGGGTTCCTCACAGCTCACACCTCCGCTCTGGGAGCCGGAAGGACAGACAGCGGTTTCAGGCCCGGTCAGCAGAAGTGCCCACCAGACGCCACCCGCGGGCTCGGCCTGGCGGAGCTGTGACCGGGCTCTGCGTCCTCCCTCAGTCCTACACCACCTGCGCCCTGGGCATCCAGTTCGTGGGCTACGTGATGATCTGCTTCGCGGCCACCAACGCGCTGTGCTCCCAGCTGTACGGGAAGGTGGCCCAGTACACGGGCAGGATCGCGCTCTACACCTTCGGTGGGTGGACCCTCTGCCGACTCCCACAGGACACGCCCCTCGCGCCCGGGCTCTGGGGGCTGCCCTGTGGGTGCCGTGACCAGGGCGTCCTGCAGGGCTGCCCCGCGGTGGGCGCTGTGGTGCACTGGGCGTGGCGCAGACACTCAGGGGTACCCTGACTGAGGGTTGGGGTGTCCTCTGGCCTTGGGGTGCACTGGGCGTGGCGCAGACACTCAGGGGTGCCCTGACTGAGGGGTGGGGTGTCCTCTGGCCGTGGGGTGCACTGGGCGTGGCGCAGACACTCAGGGGTGCCCTGACCGAGGGGTGGGGTGTCCTCTGGCCTTGGGGTGGCTGGGGAGTCGGGGATGGTTTCGGAGGGACGTGACCTCTATTCACCTGGTGCATGAAGACTGGTCTTTCAAAGCTCACTGACTCCGTGCTAGATGCACGTCACCTATTGTACTGGAGGGGACGAGACGGATCAGAGACAACTTGGGAAGTTGGGGTGTCGACAGGATGGTCACCGCTGCCCCATCGAGGTCTAGGGTCTCCGCTGGCGTCTTCTGGTTTTGTCCTCACCTATCTGTGGAGCGGACACGCCCCGCTTTGAGGCCGAAGAGCAGAGACGTGGGGTGACTTTCCCAAGGGACACACCCAGCCCTGCACTTTGCGGGGGTCGGTTTCCGGGGTGTCAGGAGCTGTCACTTCATTCTGGAGACACAGTGTCTACGGCCCTCAGGATGGGCGGGGGCTGCGCTGGGAGCTCTCTGCCTCCCCTGCTTCCCCGCGGTCTGGAAGACCTGCTCCCAGGGTGGGCACACCCCTCCCGTCACCCTGAGGAGGAGGCCCCCCTCACTGGGCCTGCACCCTGAGAGTCTGGGCTCCTGGACCAGAGGACGAAGTTTTCCTCTGGGTCCTCAGCCCACTTCCTGCTCCGACGCTGGGCGAGGCCAGAGGGGAGCCGAGCTGTACCCAGTCTGCGGGCGCCCACACCGGCCCGCGGGCTCGGCCCAGCTGCCCGCTGAGATGCGTCTGGAGCGCCTAAGGAAGCAGGTTCCACCTGACACGGCCCAGGGGCAGCCCCCTCGGCGGGCGCGGGGACGCCCTCACCTGGGCGGTGCTCTCCCCTCTGCCTGCAGGTGCAGCCACCCACCTGGCCTGCATCGTCACCCTCCTGCTGTGGAAGCCGAACCCCGACCAGCTGGCCGTGTTCTTCGTGCTCTCCGGCCTTTGGGGCATGGCGGACGCCGTGTGGCAGACACAGAACAACGGTGAGCCCAGCAGAGACCGGCCCTGCTCAGGTCCCGGGCAGCTGGGGGCTGGGGCGGGGAGGGCTCACCGCTCAGGGCCCCGGGAGACACGGAGACGCCCTCCAGCGAGGGGTGCAGAGCGGGGCGAACAGTACTCGCTCTCACTTCGCGTCCCGTAGGGGGGGTATTCCTGAGTGTTCGCTCAGACCACGATGCGGAAGAGAAAAGGCACTGACGTGAGCCCGTCCCCCACAATGATGCTTCTCACTGGAGAGCGGTGCCCGCGTGCCCGACTCCGGCACGGAAGGCGGAGGCCCCCTGGGGGTGCTACCAGTTGAGATGGGGGATGGAGGTGTGCAGTGGAGCCGCTGACGGGTTACTGTGGAGAGATCTGAGCAGGGGCCCCGGGTGTCAGTTTGGGGAGAACCCGGAGGGAAGGTCACCTGGTCAGGTCCCGGCTGAGGCGGTGCGGGCAACCTGTGGTGTCGGAGAGGCTGGGATTTGGGAGGTGTGAGCACGTGGATTTGGGGGACACAGCATTCCTGCCACCGCAGCCGGGGAACAGAGAGGGGACAGGCCCGGCAGGCACGCCGAGGAGGAGGTGGAGGGGCCGGCAGAGGCGATGACATGGTCAGCGAAGTGTCTGGGCTTTCTGGCACCCCCATGATGCAAATGTTGGCACGCTTGAAGTTGTCCCAGAGGCTCCTTATACTATCCTCATTTGGGGGGATTCTTTTTTCTTTTTGCTGTTCTGATTGGGTGTGTTTTGCTTCCTTATATTCCAAATCGATGGTTTGCTTTTTGGCTTCACCTACTCTACTATTAATTCTCTATAAATTATTCTTTATTCTAGTTAGTGCCTCCTTCGTTTCTGACTGGTTCTTTTTTATGTTGTTGATGTGCTCACTAAGTTCCTTGGAGTTAACTTCCTTGAAGTTCTCATTAAGTTCCTTGATGTTCTCACTAAGTTCATTGAGCAACCTTATAACCTGTGTTTTGAACTCTGCATTTCTTAGATTGCTTATCTCCATTTCATTTAGTTCTTTTCCTGGAATTTTGTTCTGTTCTTTCATTCGGGACATGTTTCTTTGTCTCCTCATTTTGGCTGCCTCCCTGTGTTTTTTTCTTTGTATTAGGTAGAGTTGCTATGCTTCCTAGGCTTCCTAGGGTGGCCTATTGTAGTGGTGTCCTATAGGGTCCAGTGGCACGGCCTCCCTGATCACCCCAGCTGGGCCCACAAGGTGCACCCCTCGTGTGGACTGTACTCTCTTCTGTTTTGATTGAGTCTTAATTGCTGTTGGCACGTCAGTGGGAGGGATTTACCCAGGCTGATCAGCTGCAAGGACTGGCTGTGCCCACTGACCACTGACTGACCTCTGACTCCCTTGGAGGATCAGCTGTGCAGAGCCCACCACATAGAGCAAGACTTACTCAGCAGGGCTCTGGTGCCCACTGAGTCCACTCACTGAGTGTGTCACTTGTGGAGGTGGTGGGTGATGGTGCTTTGCTGTGGTCTGAAGCTGTCCACTGGGTGTGCTGGCTCTGGGGCAAGGTCAGCCACTGCCTGTGTTCTACCTGAGGCCACCGGGCATAGCTACAGAGTGATCTGCAGATGGTGCTTCTTGTGCTGGGCTTGGAGGTGCCCAGGCAAAGCCAAGCTGTGAACCAAGGCTGGCTGCTCCTAGTGCCAGGCCTGGGGCCACTTAGTGAGAGGTATGGGGCTCGCTGAGGCCAGGTGCTGCTTGTCTGAGAGGATTTAGGAAACCGAAGTAGGAGCCAAGACAGGCCAATCCTGTGGTAAAGCCACTGGAAACAGCTTGGGTGGGCGGGGCCTCAGGGAATCACCAGGGCGGGGCACACAGTGTGAGCCAGGTTGCTGGAGTCCCAGATATGGTGCTGTCTGCCTGTCCCGTGGGGGAAGGGCTCCCCAGAGGAACATGGGCCTCCACCAGCGCGTCTGTCCAGGAGAAAGCTGCCCCTCCAGCCCTCGCCCCGATGCTGAACAGCTCAGTTCTTCCCGTGTGTCTCTGGTGCCTTTCAAGCTGCTGCCCCTGCACTGGAGCCTGGAGGGTGTGGGTCCGAGTAAGTCCTCGCCCTTTAAGAGGAGCTGCCTGGGGCTCCAGCAGCCTCAGCCTGTCTCAGCCTCAGTTCCCACTGGTTTTCCAGCCAGAAGTGATGGGGACTCTCTTCCTGGCCCTGGAACCCTGAGCAGGGCACCTGGTGTGGGACGGGGACCCCTCACTCCTCAGGGAGGACCTTCCCAGCCGAGGTGTCCTGATTTTTATCCGCCACACGTGGGTGGTGACCAGCCCGTCTGCTTCTGCCCGTCCTACCTCCCCCAGTCTCCATGTGGCTGCTGCTTTAATTCCGTGGTTGTGGGACTTCCCTTCAGCTCGGCGTCAGGCGGTTCTGAAGGGTGGTGGTTCTGTAGTTTAGGTGTCATTTTCATGTGGTTGTGGGAGGAGGCGAGACCGCGTTCACCTGCGCTGCCGTCTTGACCACAAGTTCCCAGTTATTCCGTTTTTTAAGAAGAGAAAGGTCCTGCTTTTCTGAGGACACGGGGCAGTGGGACAGCAGCTTCGTGTCAGCAGCGACTGAGAGATGGTTTGGGGTCCCCCTGGTCTCTCCTCTAGTCCTCTACGGTGTCCTGTTTGACAAGAACAAGGAGGCCGCCTTTGCCAACTACCGCCTCTGGGAAGCGCTGGGGTTCACCATCGCCTTTGGGTACAGCACCTTCCTGTGCGTCAGCTCCAAGCTCTATGTCCTCCTGGCCGTCCTGAGCCTGGCCATGCTGGCCTACGCGGCCGTCGAGTGTCTGGAGGCCAAGACCCTGCCCCGGCCCCCCGCTGTGGAAGGGACCAGACTGGCCGAGCGCGGAGAAACGCAGACAGAGCTGTGACGGCGCCACCACCGGGCCAGGGCTGGCCCGAGCGCCTCGGGCACCGTCCCTTCTCCGCAACGATTTTAGCGCCAGGTGGCCGTTCCCAAGACGGACACGGTTTTATTTTTTTATGTAATTTTTTTCTAGTCTGTCAGAGTTTCAGTCCATGAAGCGTCTACATGAGAAAGAAATCGATTTCAGATACAAAAGAAAATGTAGGGTACGATCCGCCGACAGGAACTTGCTGAAATCGTAGCATCAATAGCTTGGACTTCCTTCTGTTGTGGTCACAGTTGTTTTTAAGGACCGAAGTCTGCGTCAAATGTGAGTTTCTAAATAAACGCAGTTGTGTTATGAGCTCACCGCCTGTGCGGGCACCTTTATGCCAAACAGCCACCTAGAGAGTCCGGGGGAGGGGTGGGGAGGGCACAGGGGGACATGGGGGTGGACGGAGGCTTGACGGGGGCTGGTGCGCACACACGATGTGCAGGTGATGGGCGGTGGAGTTGTGCCCATGGAACCTGTGTGATTTTGTTAACCAATAAATAAATGCAGTAAAAAAATAAAAATAAATAAATAAACGCTCACCTAGATCGCACAGAAGTCGTCACGTGGACGATGACTGCGTGTAGACCACCGGGCCCGCGCAGAGCAGACGCCCTGCACCTGGATGGCGCTGGGCTGGGGGTGTCTGCGTAGCGCCCACTTCCTCCGCCATCCGCTGGTCCCCTTTCGTGGCTCCGGGCCACCGGCAGTGCCGCCGCCTTGCCGGCTGAGCCCTCCTCTCCGCGCCCTCTGACCGGGTCCAGGGTTCCCCTCCCCTCCTCCTGTGCTCTCCCCACACTGCCCACTGTCGCACTGACTTCAGCATGAAAGCCTCCCCCGCCCGCCCCCCGGAGCTGCAGCTCAGACTGTGGTGCTAGTGGGAGCCCCGGACCATGTGCTGGGTGAAGGGGATGCAGCCAGAGCTCCAGGAAGCGCTAACCCTCTCTTGGCCTCTCATGGAATGCCAGCCAGACCCTGGCCCTCCCTCCGTCCGCCCCTCCCTCCGTCCGCCCCTCCACTCGTTCACCCCTCCCTCCGTCCGCCCCTCCACTCGTTCACCCCTCCCTCCGTCCGCCCCTCCCTCTCCGTCCGCCCCTCCACTCGTTCACCCCTCCCTCCGTCCGCCCCTTCCTCTCCGTCAGCCCCTTCCTCTCCGTCCGCCCCTCCCTCCATACGCCCCTCCCTCCGTCCGCCCCTCCACTCATTCGCTCCTTCAACAGCGACTGACCCATTCTGCTGGAGGCACAATGAGGACAATGCAGAAGGCAACTGAGGGCACAGGCCCCGGTGGAAGGAGCACAGTCTCCTTAGCTGCAGGGCCGTCTGTCCGTGGCCTCTGGTGGGATTCGCCCTGACTCGCAGCCCCGTGGCCGGCAGTACCGCCCTCCCCGCCATGTGGAACTCTCCCCACTGCCCCCCATCGGCCTCCTGGTCTGTCCATGGACCTCTTCTCCCCCGTCTCTCACCTGCTCCCTAATATCCCGTCCCCCAGGGCACCGCCTGCTCTCCGCACAGGCTGACCTCCACCCTGCAGCTCCATCCCCTCTGAGGGGTTCCCTCCATCTCAAGAGCCCCCTGGAACTGGCCATGACCTTCCAGGCTGCTCCTGATTTACTCCCGGTGCCTCGTTGCCTTAGGTCTTTTTGAGCCAAACGTCTCAACCTCCTTCTCCTAAAGGCTGGGGCTCGGCCTGGGGGCCACAGCCCAGTGGTCTCAAGAAAGCAGGGTCTCTGCAGCCTCCGCTCCCACACAGTCTCCTCTGCCCTCCTTCCAGCAGCAGTCATGGGTTTGAGAGGCCGGACCGTCTCTGCATTTCCCATGTGGCGCTTGGACCATTTCTGAGTCCAGCCAAGCTCAATTAGCATTTGTGTAGAAGGCTCTGGGGAGGGCGGGCGACAGGCGGGTCCCCACACGGTGGAGGTTCGGGTTCTGTAGATTACCGTGCGGTCCCCCCGACGGAGCCCAGGTTGGGGCAGCCGGGTCTGGGAGTGATCTTTGGCTATTTGCTCAGTGAAGAGCCTGTGACCGGGAGCTGCCCTCGCTCAGAAACCCTCCTCGTGAGGGGCCCTTGGGGACTGTCCTGGAGGAACAGACCACGTGTTCCTGACCCACCAGGCCCGGCTCCAGGACACAGGAGGCACCGAGGAGTGTGCCCAGAGGCCCCGCAGGAAAAGACCCACAGCCGAGGAGCGAGAAAGTGTGCACACAACCTGGGAGAGGCCCCCAGAGGGACGTGTCCACATTGGCGTGTCCCGGGGCAGAGGGCAGCCAACTGCGTTTTATGTTTTCTCTTTACTGATTTTAGAGAGAGGAAGGAAGAGGGAGAGAGAGATGCAAACATTGATGAGAGAACATCGACTGGCTGCCTCCTGCACGCCCCCCACTGGGGATCGGGCCCACCACCTGCGCATGTGCCCTGACCTGGAATCAAACCAGCGACCTCTTGGTGCAGGGTGGACGCTCAACCACTGAGCCACACCGGCCGGGCCTAGGTTTATTTTATGTATTATTTTGGAAGCCCGGGTGGTGCCCTTGGTGGCTGTCAGCCCTGGAGGTGGCCGGGTGCGTGGGGGCCTGATGCGGAGTCAGCCTGCGGCGTGGACGGCTGGGCTCGGTGCGGCTGCTGGCCGAGCTCATGCCCCCGAGCCTGGGGCTGGTGCTGGCTCCTCTGTCCGCAGGGGCCTCTCCGATGATCCGCGGGACCCTGGAGGGTAACGAGAATGGGCAGGAGCCCGGCCTGGAACGTCAGGCCCCGTGACCAGCCTTTTCCCCACTGTGGGAGCAGAGCCGGTTCCGTGTCAGAGGTGACTGGGAGGAGCGGCTTCTCCCCGAGCTTGTGAACAGAGGGTCCGCTGGGGTGCAAGGCTTCCCCGGAGACCGCTGGGGCAAGAATTCCCGCCGGCTGCTGGGCATGTAGTCTTGCTCCACTACCGGGAATGAGCACAGAAAAATGTGGCAGACGGTGCTGGTGCCAGGCAGAGCCTCCTCGAGTGGCGAGGGCGTGTGCCAAGCCCAGCGCGGGCGGCCGTCCGGCCATCTGGCCGTCTGGAGAGCAGCTGCGGGAGCCACCGACGTGCGCGCAGCAGCCTGGCCCATCTGCTGTGCCTGCGCCGGCTGCCCGCCGGGCGTCCCCGGACACCCCTGTGCCATAGGCCTTTTGTTCTTCTTCACCCTTTGAACTCTGGGACGGGAAGAGCTGGTGGATGTGTCCGAGGACCTGGACTGAGGCCCAGACTCGGCCCCACCGGCCCTCCTCTCTGCCGGGTCGGTGGGCGGAGGATGAATGGCCGTCCCTGTGTGGCTTCAGCACACCAGCCCCGCATGTGTTCGTGGACGGTCAGTGGTCTGACCTTGTTCTTAGTGATCCGTCTGTGAATCGGGCCTGTCCCTGCCTCTGCGGGGTTACGACGACAGTGTCGTTGCAGAGCATGGGGCCAGCCGTGGATGGAGACGTTAGAGGGCCCCTCCCAAGACGGAGCTGAGCCGTGGTGCATCCGCTGACTGCGGACGTCGCTGCGTCGCCCTGACTGCGGCTGGATTTGATCCAAGACCCCGAGCCTCCTGGCCCAACGCCCTGGCTCAGCGACAGGTAACACGCTTGCTCAGAGAGATTAACGAGGGCCAGCTTTAAAAGTGTATCATGAATAGTACGCCACAATATCCTATTAAAACCTCCCAGAAATTAAAGGGTTATCTAAAAGAAAACTGTTAAAGAGGTAAAGTTAAAGGCGGGGAGCGAAGACAGTAGAAGTGTCTATGGTCTGGGCTTAGGGTGGGCACACCATACACAGACCGTGTGACATTGGATAACAGAAGGCTTACTGGTGTTTTATTTTTATTTTTTTCCCTTTTTTGTTGTTAGAGAGAGAGAGGAAGGGAGAGGGAGAGAGAGATAGAAACATTGATGAGTGAGAACATTGACTGGCCGCCTCCTGCACGCCCCCCACTGGGGATCGGGCCCACAACCTGGGCATGTGTCCTGACCGGGAATTGATCCTGCGACCTCTTGTTGCAGGGTTGATGCTTAACTACTGAGCCACACTGGCTGGACGAGACTTACTAGTGTTTTAAAAGAGGCTAGTTTTCTAGGCACTAAAATGTAAAGGGATTTTCATGTGGGTTCCAGTGGCGTCACCTCTTTGTTAACTTGCCTCCTGTCCAGCCCGCCAGGCAGCTTCCTGGTTCTCTCTCAAATGTCAGTGTTCAGTATGTGAAGTACGGACCTGATTGCAAGGCAGGTGCCACGTCTCCTCAGCTGCCTCGGCGTGTCCACGTGGGATGCCGTGGAGCGTGTTTGTGCACGGACCAGACGACACCCCCCTTGTTCTGGGTCACTGCCATTCATGCTCATGTCTGCTGGCTTCTAGACCCACACTAAGTGTCCTGGCCACCAGCCCCGTGGGGAGGGGGGTCAGGTAAGCCCACACATGCTGGCTGTGGGGCAGCCCTCACCTGGGGACCGACGGCGCCTCCCAGGACCACCTTCCCGCGCCCTGCGCCCCGACCGCCGACCAGCCTGTGCGCCACCTCATTCTGTCCTCTTGACGCTGCAGTATCGGGCTGTCTTTCCTGATCTCGGGGGGCTCTCCCGCCGCTGCAGACACCCAGGTCCAGCCAGGGCTCCCGCCGTGGGCAGTCTGCTGGGGTGCCCGGCGTCTGCCTTTTCAAATCCGCGTGGCGTGCAGGTGTGCCTGGCCCAGCGTCGACTTGGTCACGAGACTCTGCCCCGGCTGCGGTGGGCTCACCTGACTGGCTCACGGCATGCGACAGACACGAGAGGAAGCGGGAAATCTCTAAAGGTTTCTGGGATTGAATATTATTCATGATATGATTGTTCCTGTGGCGGATCAGGACACGGCGTTGCAGGATTCCTCGGCCCCGAGGCACCATGAAAGTAACGGGTTCCAGTACACGTGGACAGCCAGCCAGCGGGACGCGCTCTGGGTGATGCCCCATCCGCGCAGCTCTGCCTGGGCTCCTGGCAAGGCGGACCCAGTGGGGGCGGGGCTCCTCACACACCCGGGCCACAGCCGCAGCCAGTACCTCACCGGAGCAGGGGGCCTTTCCGCACCCCGACCCCAGGCCCACCCACCCCGCTGCCTCTCTGATGACCTGGACCCTCTGGAGCTTGGCACCTCAGTCACCTGCAGACACGCTGTCGCCCAGGGAGGCGGCGTCTCCTGTGCGCTGCGCCCC